AAGATAAAACTTACTCTTATCATCAGATTATTAAGTTTGTTTATTAGATTTAAAAGCTTTAAAAATTTTGGGATATTATTATTTAGAAAATTTAGTAGGTAATGATGATGCAATTTAATTGAGAAGTTATTGTATTAATCTTTATCTTCCATCTATGTTATCTTACTTTAACTTATCAATAAATTTTAAAACATCCTCTACTCCTTTTTCAGTCATTTACTTAGAAGTATAATTTAAGAATTCTTTCTCTTTAAAATATCCAAAATTTAGAGGATCTTCTTTATTTTTTAATTATCCTGATAGACATTCTTATATTAGATTTTTTGCAAAATTATTTTTATTTTCTTGATAGGCTTAAATCTATTCTGGAGTAAGTATTTTTTATAATTCTTCTTATAAACCTAATTTTACTAATTCTTCAAATGGTGATTTGTTATTCATATAAAATTATTTAGCAAGAATTCTAGGTTCCATTTTTATTGTTTATAAAGTAATTTCTTTTAATAATCTATTTAATTTAAGGGAAGTAAATTTAGTTTCATTCAAGATTTACTATATACCTATAAAGACCTCTAAAGGATATTTTGCATAAAATTATGCCATAGCTTTTAACATATCATCTTAACTGAATTTTATTGTTTTATTTTTATCTTTATCATAAATTGTTATCTAACCATTTTCATCAGATATGAAATCTTCTTAATTATATGAAATTATAAAATCCAAATCAGGTTTTATTGCACAAGCCATAGTACTTTATTATTTTAAGAAATTTTCCAATAGAGATTCAAGAAATTCTATTTTACCCTATCTTGCTAAATTGTATATGGCAAATGGCATTTCTTTCATAACACCGTTATAATTTTCAATATTTAAAGAAAACCATTATATCCAATCAATTTCTTTAGAAACAAATCCAAACATATTTTATTATAGTAAAGACATTGCTTTTGAAAGTTGAATATGATTATGATAGTAATCTTTTAAATCATCCTCTTCAATTTAAATATTGTGAATTTTGAAGAAACATTTTGTTCTAAACTCAAATTAATTAAAATCTTTCTTTAATGGTTATTTCATTATATTCAACATTTCTTAAATGGATTTGATTTCTTCTGTATTAAAACTATAATATAATTAATAATAATTACGCTGGTACTACACTTGATAATTTGGTTATATATAAAACAAGAGGAGTAGCATCATATGGAGACATTGTAGTAACAAATAATTGTTCTTATTATTCAGGTTCAACTAAACCTAGTAAAGATTACAAGGCAAATTTTTATCCTATAGGATTAATATCTTAATTTAATGCTATAGCATGAATAAAGCTTTTTCCTTATGGAGTTGTCATATCAAAAATTTTTTTGGGATCAAGTTTAGGTATATCCTTATTATCTTCATTAGGATTATTAGGATGATATTATGTGATCATTTAATTAATAACATTAAAAGGTCCTTTTTCAAAGAAATCCATTAATGGAGTATTTCCTGTTCCACCTTATTAAAAATAAAATAAGGGTTCAGCTTAAAAACCTTCATAAAACATATTCCATCTTTTTCTTCTTACTAATTCATGACAAATATTCCATAAACAAGGTTTTTCAAGTAATTTAGCAGAATCTTGTTCTTGATCAATATTTTCTTTTTCATTTTAGATTTCTTTCTTTTTTTATAGGAATTTTTATTTAACTTCAGAAAGTGGTGTTTTTGAATTTATATCCATATTTGAAAATAATCCTGGATGAACATTATTTGAATGTATAATTAAAAATTTAGCTTTATCTTTTAAATTCTTTTTCTTAGGTAAAACAGGTACAGTGAAATATATTTTAGTTTTAGCTTCTTCATAATTTGATTGAATGTGTTATAAAAATGGATCATCAGGTTTCAAATGTTTTTTAGCTAATTTTACTAATTTTCCTAATACCATAATATGTTCATAATTTTCCATTTTATCAAAGTCTCTACTATTAATATCAAAATAAGAAATAAAAGAACCAGCATCTATTTAAACATTACCTTCTTAATCTATTTTTGAACCTAATCCATTTTTAAATTATTCAGATATTAAATTAATTGTAATTCCAAAATCTGGTATTTTTTAAGCAACTTTTAAGAATTCAAATAGTGGTTCAATTCTTATACCTTCAATTAAAACACTTTTTATATTTTAAATTAATTTCTCTGCAAATATATCAGCTTATTATATATTTTCTGGTTTTGAAAATTCCATATCTTATATTGTATCTATTATTACTCCATAACTTCCATCATCCATACAATAATCATATTCACACATACCCATATCATCCACATGATCAATTAATAATTATGATCCTGTACATCCAAATTATTGTAAAGCTTCTTCCAATACTTTCTTTGGTAATCTACCTTAACGAATTGTCTATCTAAGAGCATTAACTTAAACAACATAAGGATTCTCATCTAATGACTTTAACAAAGCAATAGTATTTTCTGAAAGTTATGGCCTTTTTATACGAGAGGTTTTTCTTGAACCTACTTAATCAATATCTAAATATAATGTTTCTTTAATGAGAGCCCCTAATTGACCATCTAAATAGGATTGAATATCTTCTTCATTGACAATTGCTAATTCAATGCTAGCTTCATTAATCGATACAACTAAAGCTTTATTATGTTAATCATCTGGCCATTTATAAGGACCATATTTAGATTATTCGACTAACATTCTTCTTTCTCTTTCTTCTAAAGATCTTGGTGATCCTTTAGTATAAGAGAATTAATCTATCATCATAAATGTATTTTACTTATAGGTGCATCATATTCACAGATTTCAAACATCTAAAAATTTACAATTATATCTCCAAGTAAAGGAGGATCTTCTAAAGAATTATTAGAATAATTAACTCTTTTCTTTCTATATAGTTTTATTTCTTAAGATTGTAATTTTCTTAGTTATTTATTTATTTTATTTAGATTTAAATTATACTTAGTAGATTCACCTTCTTCATTTTAGTCTGTAACTTTTTGTAATAATTAAAATAATTAATTTGTAATATCAAATTAACCTACATATACTGAATCTTTTCCTTATTTCTTCCAAAATATAACTTATATTGGATTTGTGTAATTATATATCATAATTGTATCCAAACATTCATTTAATTAATTAGGAAATTCTTTTGCTGAATTTTTAAAATAAGTTTAACCATTATAATTAAGTTCCCAAAAAAATAATGCTGGTTTATCACTACTAGATAATTCTGATTTTGAATTTACTCTCAAATCTCTAAAATTTGTATATTTCAAATTTTGTATATGAATCATTATAAATTTTACATTTTTTGTTAATTTTTTACTAATAATATGAAATTATTAACTGCTTGGTGTTCTATCAAATTCTTTTTATGTTTATTCATTAAAGTAATCTATTATCCCTTACCATTCTCCAGCACTACTTCTTTTTACTGCCAAACCAATCAAATGATTATTTTTTGCACTCTCTTATGCTCTAATCATATCATCTAATTATAATTATTATAATATACCTGCATTTTTTATAAATCCCTATCTTAAATATTAATTAAAAACCAATGGATTTAAACTAATACTTGATTTTGAACTATGAGGTGATTAAATTGATAAACTCTTACTAGAAGCATCAAACTTTTCTTATTATTCTCTTACTTCTTCATCTCTTGCTGTTGAACTGATTAAATTATTTCAATTAATACTTGACATAATAATTTACTAATTTCTAGTTTTGTAACTGCTATGACTTCTTATCTTACTTTTTTAAACTATTAAGTTCCTATTTTAATTATTGTATCTCTTATTTTTGTTATTCTCTATCCTTTGTTACGATTTTTTTAGATCGAAATGTAGTAGCTAATTGTTATACTCAAATTTCTATACGTTCATTTTTATCTGCCTTCTTTTTGTTTTTTTGTTCTACAATTTAATTTCAATTATTCATACCTTCTTCTTTCTATATTTGTACACTTTTTTCCAATATTTACCTTAATAAATTTGCTAATTCCTCTTAACCCAATATTTAATTATCATCTTTATCAAATGTATTTATCATATCCTAAAGCTATTCATCATTTATTTGCTATAAATAGATTCTATGTTTTACTTTAACATTCGCTTGTTTATACATTTCAAGAATAGTTCTTTTCAACTCTGAAAATTCGATGTAACCACTGTCTTTTTTATTAATTAAGAAAAATTTATACCATTTTCATCTATGGTATGAAACACATCCTAAACCATAGCCTCAAATTTCTTATTGTCCTTAAGAAAATCCATTTATTATTTAATTTATTAAATATTATTGTGGTTTCTTTGTTGATTTCAACATAATATATCTAAAAAAAACTATAACACACTTATAAAATATAATATTAATAATCTATTTATCACTAATGAAACTAACTTAATAACAATATAGATCTAAATAAATATTGATAAATCACATTAAATAATATTAAACTAAATATATATTTTTTTGTTAAACTCATTGTATTTGTAACTTTTTATTAATATATATATACATTTTATTCATCAGACAAATCGAGTTGAATTATAAACTTATCAATTGTTATTAAATAATATTAATTTTAAGTATTTTTACATTATCAAATAGATTGATTATCTTAATCTCAAAGGAATGATTAATACAAATGATAGTAGAATAATACTTTAAATTATATTATTTTAGTTTATTAAAATTATATAGCAGAGTTTCAGAATTATTCATAAAATAATTTTGATAAATATATTGATAATTATAACTGCTACAAATGTCAATTTATATTATTATTCAGTTGTTGTTCTTAATGATAAATTATGTGAATATAGATATTTAATGATATCATGAATTGTTTGTTTAATTATTTGATCTTTTTGTCTGATATATTTTTGTTGTTTTTTTAATAATGTTTACAACTGTAGAATAATTTGAAGTAAATGATATTAACTAGTATCCTCAAATATATAATTTAATTAAAATGTAGTATTCGGCAACTAGCAAATGCAAATTGATGTCACCATAAATAGAACAAGAGATGAACTCTAAGGGTTTAGATAATTCAATTTTAGAAATGAGTCCAATGAAGATAGAAACTTCTAATCCAGGTATTTCAACAACTTAGTAATTGGTTTCTGCATAAAAATTTGGTGGGACAACTATGAGAATTAATTCAATTCCTCTTGACACATTATAACCACCTGATTTACCAGAATCTGAAGGAGTATTATCAATTGATAAATAAAGAGAAACTCAATCAATGCTTATAAAATAGAAATCACCATTTGCTAAATTGATTATTAATTGTCATTCATTAAAGTTTGCAAATAAAATGATAAGCTTTATAAGACCTGATTGTAAATTTTCTTAAAAATAACATGAAATTTTAAACGATTAAGCAAGTTCATATATGAAATAGAAAGGGAAGATAAGTGGTAATTTTGTGCAATAAAATCTTAATACAATAGATTTATAGATTAGACTTAAAATAAGAACATTGAAAAATAAAATAGTAAATCAATTATCAGGATGCTTGTCTTAATTATATAATTATATCCCATTAATAGAACCAAATAATATAAATAAATTAATCTGGGACTTTTTACTTTGTTTAATTCGTATATATTTGATAATATGGTCTCCTATCATAATATCATTTCCATTTTTATAAAATGATCATGCAAATTATTTTTTAATCAGTTGTGTATTTCTTATATTTGATATAATGATAAGAAACTTTACTATTTATTTTCATAAAGGATTACCAGTCAAAGATCGATTATAATTATTTAAAAAACAAATTAATTTTGGTTTAGTAATAGAATTAGGGAGTATCTTATTTGGAATATTAGTATCCTTAGATTATTAATTAAGTACATGGTTTTTCATCTTGTTTTATTATTAATTAAGAAATATAATGAAATTAGTAGATATAATACAATATAATTTAAAACCCACTAAAATGGTTAGTTCTATAATAGATCTATTTAAATTGATAGCTACAGTATTATTAATATAACATTTTTGTGGTTGTTTATGGTATTCAAATTTATTTAATAATAAATAGGTTAAAATTAGGTTAGTATTATGATAGTTAAGGTAAAATGAATTGGATGATGGATGTTAAAGATGAAAGTTGGTAAGTATAATTTTTGGAATCTTTTTATTTTATGAGTGTAACAATGTTTACTGTAGGATATGGAGATATAACACCAACAAGTATAAGATACATTATCATATAATTAGATTCACTGGAAAAGATGTTTTGTATTTGTTATATGTTCTTATCAACATTATAATATTCGTATTCAGTAAATACAATTGGATTAATTCTTACTTAGATGAAAGAAAATAATGAAATGATAAGATAAAAGATGACTTGTATTAATGAATATTTGCATTGTAAGAAATTAAGTACTGAACTTTCAATGAAAGTAAGAGAGTATTTTAATTTTTATTGGAATTAAGAAATTATATAAAAAAAAAATGAATAAATAAGACTTATTACTTTATTACCTGAAGATTTATAAAAGAAATTAAAATTAGAATCAGCTTCATCTTTAATTATAAAATGTCCATATTTTTCTTAGTTTCCTAAACCTGCTTTAGAATGTTTACTTTAAAGTACTGAATTTAATGTCTTTTAACCAGGAGTTTACATAAATCCATAAGAATATATATATATAATAGAAAATGGAAAAGTTGAAGTGATGGAAGATAAGGTTTGAATATAAATATTTTAGATTGTAATTGACACTTTAAAAGAGAATTAATATTTTGGTTTGCAAGAACTATTTTCATAAACTGATAAAATTAATTATAAATCTGCTGATTTCTCTAGTCTACTTATGATTCCTCGTTCTGAAGTATTAAAAGTTATTAGTAAATTTCAATTATAAATTATACCTGATAAATATTGCTATATTTGTCATGATAAACGACATTATACTCATTAATGTAATGTTGTTCATTATATTCCTGATATAGAAAAGGTAATTATGAGATATCATTTTTTAAATATTTAAGAAAGAACCACATTAAAACAAACTAAAAAAATTAGATCTAAGTTTTCTGCTTTAAATGAATAAATTTTGATATAAGATAGTGCAAAAATATATTAATTAGAAAATGATATTATACCTGAAAATGATATTTAAGAATAATAAAGTCAAGGTTTTAGTATTCATTAAAATGGACCACCTAAAATTAATGTTGTTACTTTTGAAGATTAATAAGGATAATTAAATCCTCCTGAATGGTTAGTAGAAACTTCATTTAATCCTGCTAAATTTATGCAAAGAACCTCTATATTATAATAGACTTAAATTTTAGATAGTTTTAAAAATAAAAGAGAAAAAAAACTTTTATTATCTGGAACAACTAATAAATAAAGTGATTAAACTATAATTTCAGAAAAATCTGGAGATTATTAAGAAACTTTAAATAAATTGTAATCTATTCTACCTAAATTATAAAATAATGAATATGAGAAATGTTTCTTATTGATAAAAAAATTAGAAGGACAATTAGGTTTAACAGAAATACCAGATTTTGAATAGCTTAAAGAATTTGATAAATTTGATAGGGAATGGAATATTGATAGAATTATAACTAAATTAATGAGACCTATTAGAAAAAATAATACAGAATTATTAAATTAATTATTAAATAAGTATTCAAAATATTTATTATTTCCTTATGAATTTATACGTCTATTTAGAAATTCATTAATTGAAGAAGAAGATATTAAATAAAATAAATCATATTTAGAATAAGTTAGACATAGTGTTAGACATTTTTTAAAAAGAAAGGCAACAGCAGTATTCCCAATTAAATGAGATAATAAATAGAAATAATATATTCTCGCCAATAATATCTATATATTATATTATTCACATTAAACAGCTTAACAAATTTTATACTGCTTATTATTTTTATTGTTTCCATTCTGACTCTGCTTGATAATAATGTATTGCTTTATGATTGCCTAATTTTTCAAAATAAAATGTTTCTAATAATGTTTGATAATTTTAAACAGTTGATGCATGATAATAATTATTTTGATCATAAATTTAGATATATAATTTTTATCCTTTTTAGTTTGTTATAATGAAATCAATATCTGTACCATTAACATGTTGATTAGATAACAATTTAAATGTATTTGGCATATATTTTAAAATATCATTTTTTATTTCTTAAAATAGAATAGAAGAAGATTGGTGTTCTAAATTCTATGCTTTTTCTTTTCTCATTCTAAAAGTTGCATTTTATCCCTCATAATAATAACTTTTATATTCTTATTTAAGATATTTAATCCAATTAGCCATAACTATTTACTTAAAAAATAATTGTTAATCAAAAGAATTCTTTTTTTTTTCAATATATTCTTCAATTACTGATTAAAATTTCTCTTCAAAAGCTTTAGATAAAGGAATATTATAATAATTATAAATTAATGCTTATTTTGAACATAATTCTAAATTCCAATTAGTTTTATAACACTTTTCCAAAAGTTCACACATTTAATTTGAATTCTTTTTATAAGCTAATTACCTTTATAAATATTAAATTTTCTAATAAGAAAAGTTATCTTAATTCAAATAAGTTTTAAAATGTTGCATTCCTATTGATTCCTCTTAATCAAACAGTATATTACAATCATCAAAATAATTCAATGTTGTTAATAAATCACTTGGATTTACAATTTGTTTAGCTAATATTCTTTTCAATTCCTCCATCATTGGTTAAAGTAATTCTGGAAGTGATATACCAAAAGTTTAGATTACTCTCATTACACTAAATCTATATATATTATATTTACTTAATGTAGAAACTAAATTATCCATCTATATAATTCATTAATTCTTTAACAATTTGTATGATTTACTAATCTTTAAGTTTAAGTTATTCAAGTTTTTCTTTTTTTTAAGTATCACTTCCATTAAAATATGTATTTACATACTCTTTATCTAATTGTATACCTGATAAAGTTATTAGATTTGACATCATTTCTTATTCAGCTAATGATATCTAATAATTAATAATAAAGTATTACTGATGGTAAAACAAATTTGTTTATTAATCTTGATTCATTTATTCCCTTAACTTTCAATTAATTAATTTACACTAAAATCTATAATTTTAATTCTTCATTAAAGTAGAACTTAAGATTGCATAAATTTAATAATTCCACTAAACAAGATTATCCCAATATTTGTTTATTTTCATAAAAATATTATAAAACAGCTTCTTTTAATTATTCATTATTATAATCATTAGATCTCAAAACAACTAATAATTATTTATATTATTTTTATCCTAAACTTGGTATTATCTTTATTATTTATTGATTCATTTCATCTTTAAGATCATCTAACCATTATCTATTTTCCTCTGTTAATAAAGGATAATCATAAGTGAATATTTAAAATGCACTTACTAAATCCTAAACTTTCAAATCATCTTATGCTATTAAATTTTGTATTAATCTTGGTAATACTTGATCTTAATCAAAGAATTCTGGATATTAAAAATATGTCTATAACATTTTTAATTAAGTTATGAATTGTAAATCATCCATTCTTAATAATTAGTTATATAAATCCTTAAATAATTCTTCATCTGTTGTAAAATATTATTACATGATTTCAATCACAAATTATTGCTTCTCAGTATCAATAGGTTGATCTTTAAGCTTAGAAAGAAGGTATTGCATGTCTAATTCTAAATTAAATTAATCTCGCAATTATTAAAGTCGATGTACAAATTTCCAATTAATAGGTTTCGATTAAATCATCTATTAAACTGTTAATATTAATCTTTGATAATTCTCAGGTGTTGGGGGATTCATGATATTTTGTAATTAACTAAAAGTGCTCATTGATTGAACTTAATTACAAAACCCATAAAATAATTTTCTAAACATATTATATTAAAATTACTTTTCAAATATATTACCATATTCCAATGAGAATCTATTATATCAATTTTTTATTATGGACAAATCTTTAATAACAGAATTAAAATTACTATAAATTTATACAATGCAACAAAAATTAAATGAACAGAGGATAGATAACAAAATTTCTGAAAAAAAATAATATAAAAATTATCTATAAAAAATTAATAACATTATGATAATCAAATATTAATACCTTATATTTACATTGATTAATGTATGATTAAAATATAAAAGAATATATAAATATATTGAACATTAAATTTGAGTATTTAAATATATTAAGTTCAAAATTTGATGTAAATTGTCTTAAATTTAATCAAAAATAAAACAAAAAAATTAAATAGAAATTCTATTTCATTTATTCAGATTGTATGAATTTATATATTTTGTTATGATGATGTTGATTAAAATAAAGTAATTTGTTCATCATAGATTAAAAATAATAACTTTATATTATATTTATATGATAGTATATAAATATTATATTTGTATATTTAATTTATATTAAATTAATATGAAAAATAATTAATAATAAGAATCCATCCATATATATATATTAGTTATAATATTTATTTAACATAAAATATAATTAATATAAAATCTTTCATTCTCCAATTACAGAAAGTTCTGCTTCTAATTCTTAAATTTAACTTAGCAAAGCATCTTTTGCCAATTATTATTATTCAATTATAAGTTATTTTTCTTAAATCGCTCTTTATTTTGCTTTTTAATTCTCAGAGTTGGCTAAAATGAATATGATTATAAAATACCTGTTTGAGACATTTTTTTATCTCCTTTTTATTCTTAATTATTATGTGTTGATTTAATTTACTTCATTTTTTTTCTTAAATTATTGATTTCAATAATCAATTTAACATTACCTCTCATTATTCTAATATTTTCAGCTTTATGTATTTCTTCATCTGCTTAAAGATTAGCTTTCAATCCTTCAACTGATTTTTCTAAATATTACTTTTAACTCTTATATTCTGCTAAAATATCAGCATTAACTTATTATGGTTTTACATCATCTTTATGGAATTCTTTAAATATTTCTTAAGCTTTATTTTTCAATTCTTCTTAATTTTATATGAATTAAACAGCTTAATATACAGAATCTTTAAATTTCTTAATTCTTACATTTTAAAATGAGATTAATTGTCTTTATTTTTTGATATTTGTTTTCATAATTTTTAATTCTTAATCAAGAGCATCAACTACATTACCTAAATTATTATTCAAATAAGCAAAATTTTTTAATTTCTAATCCATCATATTTGTTTTTTCTTTCATTCTATTAATTTCTTCATCTCTAGGTCCAGTATCTCTTTTAAGTTCTTTAATTTTATGATCTAAAACAAACTTAAACTTTTCTAATTCTTATGATCTCTTTTTTAATTCATATATTTTTCTTTCTTTTTCTCCTATAGTTTTATCTTTATCCTATATTTATTTTAATTATTCTTCAATAGCTATTTTAAGTTAATGATTTTAATCATCTAATTATTTCTTTTATTCATTATAATCTTTAAGATTTTCATTTTATTTTTCTTCTTCTTGTAATAAAGATTAAATTTTCTTTTTTGTCATACTAACTTCACTTTTAGCCTTAAGACCTTAATCAGTTTTTTATAGTATTTATTATTAATTTTATTCTTCAAGTGCTTCAATTTCACCAATAGTTTCCTTTCTAATTTATTCAATTGTTTCTCTATACTTTTCTTTCTCTTTATTATATTCCTTTTCCATTCTTTCTCTTTATTATCTTTCTTCAAGTAAACGAGCATCATAATCTTTTTCTAATTTTTTGAGTTCATCTGTATGTTCCCTTTATAATTTTCCAATTTCCTTCTCATATTTAGTTTAATGAATTTCTTTTTCATTTTTAGTTTTTTCATACTTCTCTGCTTCCTTATTAACTTTACTTTATTGATTTTATTCTAATTCTTATATCTCAGCTTCAAATTCTTCCATTATTTATTTTCTAGTTTCTTAAATATGTTTTTCTGTTTCCCTCTTTTTTTCTACTAATGTATCATAAGCTACCTTATATTATTACTTCAAAGTAGATTCTTTATCAGTTAATTATTTAATTTGATCCTCCTTTGATGAAATATTAATAGCATTTTAAGGAGCAGTAATATCTGATAATTATGTTTTGAGATTGTCTCTTGTAGTTTTGAGATCTGCCTTATCTTCTTTAGTAACAATTATATCATCTGCATATCTTTATTAATATCCTTCTTTATTTTTTTATCCTCTAGCATCTTTATCCTTAATTTCAAAAACTATAATGGCTCCATCTCTACCAGCTGTAATAAGATATTGATCATCAGCAGTAATTTTCATTTTCTCTATACCTCTTTCATCATGAGCTTAATATTCAACATTAGTTCCAGCAGATGGACCAACAAAAGGATATTTATAACATCTTACAGCTCCAGAATATCTATTCTCATCACAAACACCAGCAAATAATATTTTGTTACTACTTGAAAAACAAATTTATGATAAAGTAGCTTCAACATTTCTTTTATTTTCTGATGGTTCTTAACAAACAAATTCTCTTAGATGACGATCCTCTCCAACCACATAAACAATTTTAGTATCAAATGTCAAAGCAACACTTGACTATGGTATATTCTTTCCATTTGCTTTAGCATGTATATCAAGCATTCTTTATCCTGTTGTATCAGCACCTACCTTCCATAATGATATCAAACCATCTTAACCACAAGTAGCTAAAATTGTATCATCTCTACTCCAAGTAATACATCTTATTCTACCACTATGACCTTTAAATTATAGATTAGCAGGATTATCTCCAACATAAAATCTATAAATATGAATTATATGTTAAGTAGTGTTAGCAGCATTTACAGCAGCAAAATATTATCCTCCATTAGAGAATTTGATTTCTTTACATTATTTGAATTAACCTATTTCTCTATAATGTTTAATTTAATTATTATGAACACAAACATTCATCAATCTTAATCTATCTGTTAATCCTACAACTATATGAAATCCTGATGGATGTATACTTACACAATAAGCTTCTTCATTAAAAAATCTATATGCTTCCATACTTTTCTCTTCATAATTCCATATACGAATATATTTGTCTGCTCCACATGTTACTATCAATGGTTTTCTTACACAAACATCCATACCATTAATTGGAATACCAGCATTAACAGGAGGACATGAATGAAATGGTAATGAAACTAATTCAAATTGTTATTATTCTTCTAAAAATTATTCTGTTTTTAATTTTAAACTATAAATTAAATTGCTTGACAATGTCACTATTATTGTATCTTCACTAATAGGAGTGAAACTGATTCCTTTAATTTAACATTTGATATCAGATATTGATTTCACATGAAGCATTTAGATATTTTCATATTCTTTACTATATATATAAATAGTAGAATTGTCTCCTCCAATTGCAAATCCTTATTGCATTGCCTATATAACTTCAATCAAAAAAGGTTGCTTATTTTAATGATATGGATTCTTCAAATACCTAACATATTCAGCATTTTCATCACAAAGAAATACTTCTCCTAATTAGGTACATACAATCAAATGATCTGGATGTTATATCATCCAAGAATGACAACAATAATTATTTGATAAATCAGCTGGTGCTTTCTATAATTATGCTGCCACTTATTTTAGAGTATAACTTTTTGTTTCACCTTCATTTTGAATCATCTTATAAGATTTGAAAATTCCTTTTCCAATTACAGTAATGAATGTGGCATCATTAGGTTAAAAAGCTACTTCTAAACATTCATTATTTCCAGAAGCCACTTTTACAGAAGCTAAACATTTCATAGTATCAGTTTGAAAGTAACATAAATATGAATCAACAGGACTTCCATTCACAGAGACTCCTCCACTTAATCCAACCAAAGTCTTTGCTTCTGCATTAGGTCCAAATGCAACAGATACCCATTCCTTAATTGGTGCATCATGATAGATTAGCGTTCTTTTTTTCTTTTATGACATTGTATCGTAAATTTGAATAGCAGGTTTTTCTCCCTTCACTCCAGCAGCTAAAAATCTCTTCATTGGAGAGAGAGTCATACAAGAAAATCCTCTATAATGTTCAAATCCTTAGAAGTAACTTTGACTCTTATCTTACAATGAGTAACACACTATATGGAAGCCTGCTGGATATATAATTCTAGTATCATCCATAAAGTAGAGGTTATTGCGTAGATTACTGTTCAATCCAAAGATGTATTTTGGTTAAAGCTACTGTGACGGTTGCAGAGTAGGAATCATAATTAATAATTTTATATATATAAGATAATAAATAGACCATATTAACAAGAGTGAACATTTTCAAGAGTGTGAATTTATAAATACAATATATACATTATATGTTCTGAATTAGTTATAAACATATAATAATATAATAATGAATCTCTCAAAATCCAATTCTCAAAAAGGGTTTAGGATACTTTAGAAATCATCATTAAGCCCTAGTCATAAATTGTCTCCAGAGAAGTCTAAACTCTCATTCAAAACTCGAAAGAATAGTGAATTGCTTAAATTAATGGTTTCACCAAAGCTAATTACTAATTAAACAACTTAAGAGGGATCATTTGCAAAGAGAGAAACTACACTTCAGAACTCATAGATTATGGATGTAGTATTGGTGATTGTACATGTTGGACAGTAGCAATTCCGATTCACTTTCACTCGAAACATCACTACAACCTAAATGCGCGCTGCCTTATTGTAAAAGCTAAAACTTAAGATTGTGGCATTTACAACAATTGATCATAACATTCTCATCGATTATTATTTGACACTTGAGGAACGACCAATCATTTGGCCTGAATTGTAATTGGAATGTCAAGAACCAATATAAACAGGTTAACATGTTTCTCTTAAAGATTTTCAAATTTTGAAATGCATAGGAGCTGGTGGATTTTCAAAGGTCTACTTAGTGAGATCTAAAATAAATGGTCATTTTTATGCAATGAAGCTAGTAGATAAAGAGTTTATCATTAAATATAAAAAAGCAGGTATTTTTATGTATTTATGAATTAAAGAATTACTTCAAAATGAAAGAGACATCATGGCATTTATCTATCATCCTTTTACAATCTAAATGCTTTTCTCATTTGAGAGTAGAAACTTTATTGTATTTATACTTGAATTCTGTAGTGGAGGAGAACTCTTCTATTAACTTAAAACTTTAAAGAGAATGTCAGAAGAATAAGCACAATTTTACTTTGTGGAAATATGTATTTGCATGTTATACTTACATTAAATGGGAATAATGTATCGTGATATCAAACCTGAAAATATCCTTCTCGACTTAGATGGACATATTCGTATCTCTGATTTTGGACTCTCTAAACTCACTAGTCCAGATGAATTTGCTTATAGTTTTTGTGGATCTCCAGAATATATGGCTCCAGAAATGTTACTTAAACGAGGACATACAATACAAGTTGATCATTATTGTCTTGGAGCTTTGCTTTATGAACTAGTTACAGGTTTACCTCCTTTTTATAGTAAAAACACTCAAAAAATTTATGATTCTATACTTAATGAATAAGTTACATTTCCACAATTTCTAAGTCAAGAAATCAAAGATCTTATGTCTGGATTATTAGCCAAAGAACCTAATAAAAGATTAGGAGTTCGTGGAGGAGTTAGAGAAATTCTATAACATAAATGGTTTAAGAAAGTAAATTTGACTGATATCCTAATGAAAAGAGTAAATCCACCAATTAAACCTGATATTTAAAAATTAAATTTTGAGACTAAAAATTTATAATAAGGAGATTTGGAAGTGAGAGAGAAATTAGTAGGGAAAGCAGGTTTCAAAAAAGATTTTAAAATTTTTGATGAATTTTATTTTGATTATAGAGAAAATGTACGAATAGTAGATTAACAAAGATTATTGAAAGAACATATGAAGAATGTGGATTCTATTTAATAACAAAAACCTCGTTCATTAGATAAGATTATATCTGAAGACAGTAGATAATCAAAATTACAAAAAAGATTAGAGCAACAGACTTCTCTAAGAACAAGTCCGTAGAAAGGATCCACATTAATGACTAATAACTTTATGCAAACAGGAGGATTGAAAACGGAAAGTTCTGATTTAACATCAAGTAAACGACGTATAACTTGATATTTATTAATATTTATAACATAATGATATTATTAAATAAACATAAATGGATTATAAATTATAAAACTATTACTTAAAATAATATCTTTAAGATTGTTATTGCAATAAAAATAATGAGTTCTAAATAGAATATTTAAATAATAATTCTAATTTTTATAAAATCTTTTTCATCTTAAATGTGAAAATCAAAACTTCAATAGAATTTTATTGTATTCATCTTATATTTTATACCAATCCTATATAATCTTAATCATAATCAAAAGTTTACTAGAATGATTGGATGCATACAATTTAATTGATCATTTATATAGGATTAGAAGAGAATAGTAAAAATAATTGTAAGATCCATAAAACCTAAAATAGTATATAAAATTATTTATAATTAGTCGCATAATATAATTCCATTTCCCCTTGATTTAGTGAATGGAATTAATATGATATGAATAGAAATGTTAAAAAATTAAACACTATTATACATAAATAGTTAGTTCATAGGTTATCATTTATTTAAAATTTATGAAACAACAACAATATTTAATGGATTTCAATCTCTCAAATTGTAATTTGCTATAAAAAAATCAACCAAATCATTAATCGTCTCCTAAGAAGTTAAGCAATTCTGAAGTTAATGCAGCAATTTAGAAATACTTTTAGATTGTTAAGAGAAAGGAAGGTAAGAATCCTAATCCAATAATTTCTAATGCTCAATCATCCAAGATTTTAGGATAATTGGTAACAAAGGTATCCCCTTCTTTAGACATCCATGTTCCAATTAAGCCTCCAACTCCATTAGGTACTTAATCTTCTAGACCATCATCTGAGAAGAAAGTTTATCATCGTCCTCAGTAATCAATGGGACAAAGCAAGGATTTGAACTAACATAAACTTCTAACCACATTATTTCAGAAGCCTAAGACTCAATCTCAATAAGTAACACCTAAGTGTAGTGGTAAGGGAAGTGTTAGTGTCAACAAGTATTTTGAGAGCACAAAAAAATTATAAGGTGAATTTCAACAATACTACTTAACAAGAGTAAAAAATGCTTTTTCAAAGCCTTTGAGGGATGATTATTTTAGTCGAATGTACAGGGAACACTTTTTATAAACTTATCAAGGGATATATATTACATAATACTTACAACCAGTTGATCCAAATGATCTGTAAAATAAGCAAGTACATCTAAAATAGAAGGAATGTTACATAAGTATTTTAAATTCTAAATTATTTCTAGATAAGATCACTATTGTATTTGATTTAGATGAGACATTAGTCCATTGCAATGAAAGTATAGCAATGCCAAGTGATATCATATTATCAATTGAAGTGTCTCCATAAGAAAAAGTCAAAGCAGGCATAAATATTAGACCTGGTGCTGTCAAACTATTAGAATTACTTGTGAATGATTTTGAATTGATAGTATTTACAGCTTCTCATCCTTGTTATGCTTAGAAAGTGATTGAATATCTAGATCCCTAGAAGAGACTTTTTTCTCATAGTCTTTACAGAGATAATTGTATAATGACTACAGGAGGGATGTATACCAAGGATCTTAGAATTATTGATCGATCTCTAAGTCAATTAGTCTTAGTGGACAATGCTTCTTATTCATTTGCTTGGTAATTAGATAATGGGATACCCATAATTCCTTTTTATGATAATAAAGAGGATAGGGAATTGGAGTCATTACTAAAATACTTAAAAGGAATGTAGGGTTGTAAAGATGTTAGGGAATATAATAGGTAAGATATCACCAAAAATATTATAGAAATCATTTAAAATTTTAGTTTTTCCAAGATCCATCAGGGCCAAGTCTTGTGTTTGAGAAATTGTTTGATTAGAAGATGGAAATCTAATGATGTTTTATTAAATGTACTATGGTCATGGTAGTTGAATATTCTCAATTTAAATGTTTATTCACAAGTGTAAATTACTTTGAAACGATTGTATAAAATATAAAAATGGATCCTTAATTGAGTCATTATACTTAATTCTTTATTGTAGTTACTAATCTTTGTAAGACAAATCAAATCACTCCTGAACAGAAGTCCTTATTGAAAAGTAATCTCACTAGTAAAGATGAGAAAATCTGTCGAATGTTGATATAAAATAGTGGTCCTGGAAAGTATGAATTGAATATAATCCTTTTAGAGAAATTTAATTGAGAGAAGCTCTGTTAGATTATTTGGCTGCATAAAACAAATAAATATAGAGAAGAAGATCTCATAAATCTAAGACAGTTCATTTTATGAAAGACGTAGCAGAGTAGGAGACACAATAAGAGATAGTCCCTCAATAAGAATCATCAGCCTAACCATTGGCAAGTGCTGCAGCTGTTATGATTGAATAATTAGTTGGAGTTTTACATAAACATATTGATAAACATAGTTTACTTGTATCAGAGGATAAAGAAAAGTTGATATAACTGTGCAACTTAATTTAAAAGCTCACATCTGAGTAGGTTGATTTAGATGGAGTGAGTCCATTTAGGGCCAGATACTCATCGGAAAATAGTAAATTAGCTGAAATAAGTGAGAAGGATTTAGATTCTAGTGATGAGGATGTATATGAGAAAATGGTAAAAGGAATAGATCATATCTATAAAGAATTGAAGAGTATATTTACAGGGAATTTACATACACATTTACTACTTATGTAGGAAGACATTTCTTATGAAAATTTGTATTAAGTCCTAAAATTTTTACTTAAAACTCTTGTAGATGCAGATGAATTCACTTTCTTTATTCATCGAGATAAAGAATGGGAAGTTTATTCATCTTCTAATGATTCCATCAAAGATGTAACACCTGAAGAAGCTTAGAGAGTAACAGATGAATTAGCTTATATTCGTCCATTCTGTATTCATAGGATAGATCCTAAATAAAGGTAATATCCTTAAATTGAAGAAACTTGTAAAACCAATACTTTTTCACAAACATCTATTGTGAAGTTCTAGTTGCAATTAAAAAATTATGAAGTTTTATTCTGTCTTCATTGGACTGACAAAGACAAAAAGAATATTAAAAGAAAGTTTATCAAGTATATTATTCAATCAAAATTTTAAGTTATGCCAATATGTATGGATTTAACAAAGATGTGACTCATTTGGCATAATTTTTGGTTGAGACCATAATTACAGCTAAAGTCTAATTTTTTAATCCTCTTAGATTTTCTGATTAGGTTTAAGATATAGGAATTAGTTTCATGCGTATATCCAGATTTTTGTTGGTTGAAGGAATTAAGAAAGTTCTCAGTATAAAATTTGAAGTAGAAAAGGAATAAACTTTCTCTACAGATGAGAATATCAAAAGGTAAAAGGAATCATAGTGTGTAAAAATAGAACTTAAAGATTAAAATCCAGTCACTTTAAGAATAAAAGATATGGATTTAAAAAATGAATAGGATCTTCACTTATATTCAGCTGTATTTATTAAATAAATATTTAATAGATAATTCAAATACAAGAAAAATATGATGGTTATGTAAAATTGTGTTATGAGAAATCAGCATTTTATAAATATTTTTTACGTACAACAGATTCTTTATTATTTGATTTTAATAAATAAGGAGAATTGATTTTTTTGAGTAGACCAATCTCTAAATCATTAAAGTATTAAATTTTATTTAAAATATAATAGAGAAAGATTTAATATAAACTTTGATCCTAAAGCTATTTTGTATAATAAGATATCTTATTAAGACATATTTGCTTAGAATAGTATAATATCAAATATTGAAGTGAATATTTAAAACATACATGAAAATAGAAGAAATCAATATTTGAGTAATTTGGAGAATCCTTAATTTGAAATATTCTTAAAGGTTGTTGACAATGATTTTAAAGGATTTACTGTGATTTTTCATGAAAATGAAGCTAGAAGATTGAAATAGTATTTTATGGCATTAAAAATTGATAATATGACTAATGATGTATAAAAAGAGGCTGAAGCTAATAAATCATTAGAGGAAGATATTTAGAAATAAATATTAATTTAATACAATAAACATTAAACATTTAAATTTTTAAATTAATTAGATGAAACTTAAGATGTAGCAAATTCTATGATTGCATTATTTATTCCAGAAAATGAATTATAATAGATTAGACATCGTAAAACAGATGGTAGAAGTCCAGAATAATAAAGTAAAGATTTGTAGAATGATTAATGGGTTGCACCTCCATAAAAGAAAAAGAAAATAGGATCTAGTGTTTACATAAAGTATTAATAATAATTGGAAACAGTGGATGCTAATTTATTTAAAGTGAATGATAGTGATTCTTAATTGGATTTATTTGAATTTAATATCTTAGTTTTAGATTCATCATAAGAGAAACATAGATTAGTTTATAGTATATTAGAAAGGAATGGTTTCATATCTTAATATAAGTTAAATAAACAATGTTTAGCTTAATTCTTGAGTGTTTTGTAAAAGAAATATAATAAAAGAAATAATTCATTTCATAATTATGATCATGGTATTGCTGTTATGTAAAGTGCTCATTATATGTTATAATGTGGAAAAGCAAAATAATAAATTGATGATTTTAGAAGGATGTCAACTATTATATCAGGTTTATGTCATGATGTATCACATACTGGTAGAACAAATATTTTTATGATCAATAGTCGTTCTAAATTAGCTACTCGTTATCATGATTCTAGTGTAATTTTATAATTTTATTATATAAGCCTTTAGAATAACATCATGCTGCAACAACTATATTTATGTTAAAGGATCCTTCACTTAATTTTTTAAATTCCTTATCAAAAGAATAAAGTTAATAATTCAGAAGAATTCTTATAGATAACATTCTATATACTGATATTAAAGTGCACTTTACATTATTGAAAGATTTTGAAAGTAGAATCAAGGATGAAGTAACAAAACCATTTGGTACTGGAGATGATGATTTAAAATTATTAACAGGAATGATAATTCATACAGCAGATTTTAATGGAGGAGCTAAAGTATTTGAGATTTCTAGAATTTGGTCAGAAAGAGTTAATAAAGAATTTAGTGCATAATATGATGAAGAGGGTAGATTAGGAATTCCATAAACACCATTTTTGAAAGATCTTGATAAATTACATATTATGGCTAAATCTGAAATGGGATTTTTTAAAGTGATTGTTAGACCTTTATGGTTCACATTGAATACCTTTTTTGTATTTAATTATTACAATATTTTAGGATGGATATCTTTAATAAAGCATAACTAATCTTGATAATACAATAATAAGTTGGGAAAAAATATATCATGCAAATCTTCCTAAAGAAGAAAAACAATAATAATAATTATGAATGTTTATTTTGTTAAATATTATGAAATAATTTTTATAACAAATACTAATCTAAAATAAATCAATTTAGTTTCTTTTTTGGAATAAAATACATAGGTAAATGATTTTAATTTTCTCTTATAAATTCAATAGTACCTTCCTAAAATTTATATTTAAATAATATTTACTTAAATATTTTCAATAATATCTCTTGTAATTAATTTCTTTATTTCTTCAAAGAAATTTTCATCCATATAACGACCATCTCTTGCATATTCTTATGCCTTTTCTAATACTTAATCAATCAATTCATTTTTTAACATTTCACTTTTAGTTATGTGTCTGAATTCACTAAACCATTCATGATATAATGCAATAGCCCAATTTTCAGATAAAAATTCAGATACATTATTTATTAATTTACCTCTTTATTCCAATTTATTTAAATATTTAACAGATAATTCTATAAATTATAATAAACTTGGTATATGAACTGCTTCAGAACCAAAATAAGTAACACTTTCAATTAATCCATTTGGATCAATATCAAATTATAAAAAATGTCCATTTCCATTATTAAAATTATCAGATAATATAGGTTTAGATGGTAATTATTAAAGATGTTTAGGTTTTGAAAAATCATTCTTTTTAATATGATAATAATAAAGTTTATGAGGTACTATACCTCCTTATCCAATTGGCATATATAATTAGGGTAGTTCATCTACAGAATATGTTTAAGATGTTAAATAACTAAGATTTAATTATTCTAAAATGCATTTACTTAATTTCTAACCCAATTCTCTTCCATTATATTTATCTAAACGAAGACTCTTACCAACAGAATGATGTTTATATCTTTATGAAAATTCACAAATCTTACCACAAGCAAATATATTTTCTTAAGTTGTTTAAAAATTACTCTTTACAATCAATCTACCATTATAAACTAATCCATTTTCATGAATAATATTAAATATCTCTTTATCTATATCAATTAATCCACTTGTAATAAAGAATCTAGACTCCAATTCTAAATAATCATATTCACTAGCCTTTAATTATTCAATTTCTCTAGCTAAAACCTCTAATTAATTCTCTCCTTCTTCTTATTCCCCATACATATCTTTACTCATATTATTTTCTGAATTATCCTTTAATTCTTATAATTCTTATTCTTTTCTCTATATTTCTATCTTTAATTCTTCATAATTATCAGCTTATTTTCTGAATATCACTTATTATAATACATCTTCACTATTTAATCCAAAACCTTCTTTTCCTACTTTCATTTCAAATAATGTGAATCCATAATGAATATTTATACCCATCTTTACCATTATATCAAATACTTTATTTTTTACTTCATCATTTTCAAATTAATCTGGATCAAAAATTATTTTATCTTCTTATTCCAATCTTTATTTATTATTTTCAAATTTAGTTTATTTTTGAAATGTTTTTGGTGGCATAACATAATGAATACGAGAAGGATGTACTCCTCTATTAAGTAATCCATTCATAAAAGTAATAGTAGATAAAGTATTTCCATAAATTGTAATATTTTATGGTTTCTTCTTCCTTGTCAATAAATCTATATTACTATTTTTAAACCCTGTTCTTTTAAAATGTTAATACAAATAAGGATCATCTATACTATATAAACCATTAATAAATTAAGCAGTCTTATAATATGGTGATTTAGATAATCCAAAACTTACCTTCTCTCTTGATTATAATTCAGTATCAATTAATCCAACAGTAATGATTAAATAATCAAAAGGAATAAATGCATTTTTATCAATCTTTATTCTATTACCTTTTTTATCTAATTTCACCATTTTAGCATCAACTACTTAAACTCTTGCATCTAACATTAAAGCTCTTAATTCTTCAAGTGTATAATTTGTACTCATAGCTTTTAACATTTCGAATTCATGTTTTACATGCATTGTTAATAATCCACCAGGTGCTAATAGAATAATATTAGTAAAATTGATATCTTTTATTGTTAATAAAGATTCAATAAATGATAATCCTGTATCTGATGCACCAACAACAACAATACGAGAATTATTTGATACTTTTACACTTGATAATTATTTCTTAGTTAACATTGCTAATGAAAATGGTGCCTAATTTTAATCATAAGGATCACGATCATCTAATATTGCTCCCATTCGTTCTCTTTCATCTTAATCTAATGTCCAATCCCATTTTTATTTTAAAAAATGAGCAAATGCTCTACTTCTTACAAAATTAAACTCCTAAAAAATATCAGGTAATAATGTTCTATCATGAATTTCCAACATTATACATGTTTTATCCATCAATCTACAAATTTCCCTTAAAATAAATCTAGTTTATTTTGCAAATAAAGGATTCAATATTCCATGTAATAATCTAGTATGTAAATGTTTAGGATGTTCTGCTATAAGTATATGATCCTATATACAAAAATGTGATTTCAAATATTATAAATTCACATACTTTCTCATGCAATATAAACCTATTATTTCCTCCTTACAATATACTATAAATGTTTCATTATCATTTACATTTCTAACATCTCTCTCTATTTAATCCTTATCCAACAAATTCTCAACCAAAAATTAACATTAAGCCCATTCATTTTAATTCAACTTTCTCAATCCTATCAAATGAGAATCCAAACTATTTCTATGATAAATATAAAGAACATGTTCAAATGTTGAATGTTTCTTTCTTGGAACCTATAAGAAATGTTATAAAAGTGTAGTCTCTTAAACTGTATATGGTTATGTTAGAACCAAATATTCTCTATCTGGAAATAATTCAAAAGCCCTTTCCACAAAATCTAATGATCTTGATTCAAATCTTTCATCTATACAGAATAAATTAATAACTACAGCATTTTAAGCTGTTTTTGGTACTTCTGGCAATTAATCAATACTCTACAATTATGAAACATATTCATCATATTCAGTTGATGTTCTTTATATTTATTTTGCTGCTTCTAATTTTGCTATTTAATTTTATTCTTCTTATATGATTTCTTCTACTTCACTTTATATAGTATTTGATCTAACTAATTATAATCTACACATCATTTAATCATATTTCTTTAATTTCTAAATAGCTCCAATGAATTCTTGATATGATGTCATCTTTTATAAAACATCAACTGGTTTTGGAGCATCATCACCTACTTTCTTTAAATTAGTATCCTTTTTCTTTGCATCCTTCTCTTCTTTTATTTTTTAAACTATTCTATTATCAACTTCTAATTCTCCAAAACATTCTAAAATAAAAGCCAAATTCTCTCCCATAGGAGCACCAATATCAAATCCTTTATTTCTTAATATTTCTGGAAATTCAATTAAATCTACATGTCTACTTGGATCCATCTCACCATTTTCAGTACAAAATTCCATTATCAATTCCTTAACTCTCATTTCAATCTATTTTCTAAATTATGTTCTAGTTTCAGCAGAAACTGAAGTAAATTTTGTAAATGCTTAAAGAAATGGTCCCAAATCAAAATAAGGAGGAGGTTTAAAAATATCCTCATCTTTATCTTCTTTTTTAGCTTTTTTATTAGTTTTCTTTTATTGTCTTTTTGGTCTTTTAAGTGAGAGTGCTTTTTATTCTTCCTCCTTTTTCTTTGCCCAATCTTTCCAATGACCTTCTCCATTCATGTAACCTTTTGGTAATCCAAAGAATTCAAGAGCTTCAAGCAAAATTTAAATTGGTTTAATAGTAATGCATTCTAAATCTTTAAATAAGTTTGGATATTCAAGAAATAGATCACTTGGTTTGAATACTTAATAATCCTTCAACCATCCATTAATCATATCAGTAACTACTTATGGAGTAAGTGTTTTTGCCAAGTCTTCTTGTCCATAATCATCAATTTTTTATTTGATCTCCTAATCTCTATCAAAACAATATTATTGTAAATAGAGTCTTTATCCAACAATGTGACATTTCATTGCTTCTTTTGTTAATTCAATTTACTTCTTGTATGTGATAATTTATTTATTTATTTATTCTTCCAATGCCAATTAATCAAGTCTATTTCTTATAGCTTCCATATATTCAGCCTTATATAGATTATCAAAGACTTCTAAATCAAAGCATTGTCCCAATAAACGATAACTATGAAAATTTAATAATTTATTTACTCAATATCACTTGATATACTCATTAGACCAACAGCTTTGTCTCCAACTTAACCAACTATGGCTTTTCCATCAGATCTATAATTTCTAGCTTGTCTTCTTGTTTGATTTTAGGTGGCAATTAAATCTGCAATGAAAAATTCACCAAATTCTTCTGTATGAACATCAGATTAACGATTAAAGATGGCAGCTAAATCATCATGATCTTCTTCACGAGCCATTCTAATTTCTAATAGATCAATGACCATTGAAGAAGGAGAATAGTAGATTTCACAATTTTAATTTACTCCTTGCATAAACTATATAGTTTGATAGATGGTACTTTCAATTGAAAATCTTGTCTCTTTGGTAAAAGTTCAAAGAGATTTTCAAGGGCAATATCAAGTTCTTATTAAGTTGCATCTTTGGCTTCATTTCTTCTTAAGAAAAAGATGCCATTAACAACATTCAAATAATCATATACTTTTTGGAAGATTTGTCTAGTTATCTGTAACTGTTGTTCCTCAGTGAGTTAGTAACGCTTTTTAGCTTGTTTATAGAATGTATATTTTACCAAGAAAGAAGAAAGTCATCCAAAGACAATTAAAAGAGCTTACATGAAAGTCTATGTTCCATCCATCATGAATCCATTACTCCCACAAATTTTCATGTTTAAAGTCTACTTATCCAGTTACACCTTAAGGACAATCATCAAATACTGCATTTCCTATGATGTTATTTTGAGAGTCAAGCACTGTCACTGATAAATAGGAACGTTCAAATAGAGTTAGAATTTTTGGGTAGGCATATAATTGTTGTAAATCTTCTTCACCTTCCTCTTACATCAATTACACTATCTCATCATAATCATCTAAATCAGCCT